TAGCGCTTTATTGTGTATTGTTGTACACCCAAAGCGCTTTACAATCATATGGGGGGCCTCTCCACAACCACCACCAGTGTGCAGCATCCACTTGGATGAAGCGACGGCAGCCACAGGACAACGGCGCCAGTGCGCTCACCACACACCCCTTTAATATAAATATTTATATTTTATATTATTTTTAATATTTAAAAAATTGAATATTAAAAATTAAATAAATATAACTATTTATTTATTTTATTCATTAAAATAAATGTTCAATATGAATGAATGAATGATGCATTTATATAGCGCTTTATTGTGTATTGTTGTACACCCAAAGCGCTTTACAATCATGTGGGGGGCCTCTCCACAACCACCACCAGTGTGCAGCATCCACTTGGATGAAGCGACGGCAGCCACAGGACAACGGCGCCAGTGCGCTCACCACACACCAGCTACAGGTGGAGAGGAGAGAGAGTCATAGAGCCAATCAAGTGGTTGGGGATTATTAGGAAGCCATGATAGACAAGGGCCAGGGGGGCAATTTGGCCAGGACACCGGGGTTACCCCCTGTCTCTTTACTAGATGTGCCATGGGATTTTTAATGACCACAGAGAGTCAGGACCTCGGTTTTAACGTCTTATCCGAAGGACGGTAAGGATATAATGAATATAAACATTTGTTTATATTTAACATTATTGTATAAAAGATACCATGGTTTATGTAACAATTGTTTACATGAATAGTTATATTCAAATATTTATTAAAATAAATATATATTTTTTTACTTCATTACAATAAGTATTAAATATAACATTTGCATTACATTATATGCAAATATATATTATAGAAAATGTCCAAAAATATAGCAAATTATAGTATATACAAAAAATCCTAGCAATACCATAGTTCAAGCAACAATTATTTTAAATAGTTAATGCATTTAATATATTTATAAATAATAAAATATTTTAAGTATTATTATATTATATTATACAAATGTATATGTGCAAAACAATTAGCAATACCATGATATTTTTTGTAGATATTGAATTCCCTTCCAAAAAAAGTACTGTGGTCGTACCATGGTATTTTTATATACGTAAAGGTACTGAACGGTTACCGTACTCGTATACCGTGGTATTTTACTCCATGGCAACTCCAGAATACCATGGTACTATACTCAGAAATGTTTTTTTTTTTTTTTTTTTACATTCCATCACCAAGGTACTTTTGCTAATGTGAGTTTTAATTAAATCATAATAGAACTTACACAAAATAAATACATAAAAGTGTACTACGTATGATAGCCTTTATGTAACCAACCAATGTTAACCAACTAAACCAGCTAATCACATATGTAGACAGTAGAGACAGTGAAATATGAGGAAATAAACTTACCAACCATAGGAGAGAAGTTTTTCAAACGCTCTTCGTGCTCGTATTTGTATTTTAAACGATACAGTGCTGATTAAAACATCAGTGCTGTTCTCGAAATCAGGGAAATGTAAGGAAATTAAAAGTGAAACTCAGTTGCTTCAGGAAGTCAGGAAAGTCTTGCGTAACTTCATCAAACACAGACGCGGAAGACACTCCTATAGATTTATGCTATAATAATAATAACAATTTTGACAAAAATGCAAGCAGGAAAATTCAAATAATAGAAATGAACTGAAAACAAATAACAGTAGAGCTGAAAACAAATATTTTAACAAAAAGTAATGAATAAATATATCTGCTTTCGCTGAATCCGTTTCGGGGAGTTTTTTTTTTTTTAATTTAAAAAAAAAAAATGTTATTGCCCGTCATCACAATAAGAATTAATTTCCCTGTTGTTGTTGTTGTTTTATTTTTTTCATTGACTTTCAGGTGTTCTCGCGAGATTTGGCAAGACAAGAGGGCGCATGGCGCTGCGCATGCTGTGAGTAAAGGACAAGCACGACCTGTATGTAATTCTGTACGTTCATCTGTTTTCTGACCTCTAAACAGTTAGTTGTTCAAGTTAATATTTAAATGCAGCATGTTGTTTTACATAGCGGCTGGAGACTCTTTAACTAATATAAGTCTTTTTGGAGTTCATGTCTGTAGTAATTAATGTCTTAAATGCAGCGCAAACAGTTTTTTCTGAAATTAATAAACACTTGTGGATTTGTCCAACCCATTTTGTCAATCAAATGATGTTCTGTCTTAATATTCTGTTGTGTCTTAATCTCAGCGGGCTGGTGAAATTGTGGAGCGCATTAACATTACTGGGATCATATCAGAATGAGGCGTGTGCATTCAGAGTCACGCAGGTACATTTTCCCCAGTGTTAAAGCAGATTCAACATTTACTTTGCCCTGAGTTTGCAGTCTGTTAGCGCTAGATGTCAGTAAAAAGCTTGTGGATCAATTGGAGATCTACCAGGAATGACTAGACACAATTTTAATGTGACCATTGGCATTCGGTCAGCCAAACTGTGTGTACTTTGCAATTTGCGTCAGATTGCTGATGGGGGGTTGCTGTTTATCTCGTTTTAGATACTGAACCCTAATGAACTTCTCGCTTGTGTTACAAACTCCAAACGAAAATGCATAACAGCAGGCACAAAAACGAAATCGAAAATGGTTTGTTTGTCACTTTGTGAAGTTTCATTTTATTCCAAGCCCCACAAGAAATAACGTGATTGCACTTAGCCGTGAGCCCTATGAAGGTTTCCTGTTTGAAACCTATTTACTAAAACATGGGGTCTTTTTTCTCTCATTTCTATTGCAAGAAGAACACATTACAAGCACTAAATACAAATCTAAATCATTTTACACATATGTTCTTAAATACATAAACGGTCCCAAATGATAGCATATGTAGTCTTACGAAACTGCGGCGTCGCTCGCTTTCTCTGGAGTGTGCGCACTACAGAGTGGACGAGCTCCTCTCCTCTAAAGCATCTACGTCCATTTTCACTGGCAGTTTCTGATTCGTTTCTCCCACGTTGTCGCAAGCACAGACGCGCAGTGACCCGTGAACCCTTCACCGACCGGGACGGGCTCTCGGTTACCGAACCCTGTGGAACCGGGGCGGTTTGGTGGTGTTTTAATCCGGGATGGCGTTCATGGAGCAGCAGCCGCAGCCGATGTCCGGCAGGAAGCCGCCGCTGGACGACACCGTGCCGCTGATCACCGTGATCGAGGCCAGCCAGAGTTTACAGTCACACACGGTAAACGGCTCAAACCGGAGCCGCGCGGAGACGGTGTCGAATAGACCGATCTGGATCCGTTACACCGTTCAAATCGGTTATAAATATGCGTTTGAATGTCTGTAGATTAGGTTATAAAGGGATTTAAAGTCAAACTTTGCATTGTATGTGTAATATTAACCTGATTGTTTCTCGAATATTTGTCGATTAATTTTAGATTAATCGTATTTAGTCTGTATAAGATTAGTTTTTGTTTAGTTATTTAATGTTAATGTCAGTAGTCGATAATGGAACAATTTTGTGAATTGTAAATATTTAGTGAAATAAAATGTAAAAAATTGTAAATGCCCTGTTGAAAAAAACCCAGCATATGCTGGTTAGTTATGTTTTGACGCTGGGATGCTGGTCCTTTTGCTGGTTTAAGCTGGTCCTTTTGCTGGTTTAAGCTGGTCCTTTTGCTGGTTTATGCTGGTCCTTTTGCTGGTTTAAGATGATCCTTTTGCTGGTTTATGCTGGTTTAAGCTGGTCCTTTTGCTGGTTTATGCTGGTCCTTTTGCTGGTTTATGCTGGTTTAAGCTGGTCCTTTTGCTGGTTTATGCTGGTCCTTTTGCTGGTTTATGCTGGTGTTTTTGCTGGTCTTTTTGCTGGTTTATGCTGGTCTTTTTGCTGGTTTATGCTGGTCCTTTGCCACCACATGACCAGCATAAACCAGCAAAAGGATCAGCATAAACCAGCATCCCAGCGTCAAAACATACCTAACCAGCATATGCTGGTTTTTTCAACAGGGAAGCAACATCCTGAATTTAGAAATATTGGCAACTAAATATTTAAACAATTATTTTATACATTTTAAGATTTAGCAAACGAAAATCTAATTTGAATGAAGTGATGAAGAAATGGTGTTTGAAATTCTTTAACAAGACGTTTTATATTAATATTTGTTTATGATATAATAAGCATAATCGACTTTAAAAGAAAATGATATGTAAATAGTGCTTTGTTCATTTCGATTTATCTATCGGTTTAGTTAACGTAAACATCATACAAGCATTAAAAAAAAAAAAACGATCTCATATACTGTAGCTAGATCTCATGTGTCATGTAAACCAGTCTGGATCTGTTCGTGTGGATTCACAGGCGGAATTTACCATTTATCATTCGCATTTGTGCTGAAAGATATTTTCTCTTGCTGTGAAACCGAAGCCACAATACATACGAGTGTTTCCTTTCTCATTTATTCATCTATTCGTTTCTCATAGTCGTTCATATGAAAGTGCAATCTAGTAAACCGCCTTTAGTTCTGTGTGATATAAACTTTACAACCTGTTAAATGTTTTCTTTTCATTTTAGAGTAGAGTAGATTCAGGGTGGATGAACATCTAGACCTTAATCATCATTTATATGACCAATTATGTATGTTTAATGTTATTTTGTAAGCTGAAAGTCAAAATGTTGATGTATATTAAGATATGAGGAGTGTGAAAATAATCAACCACAGAACGGATGTGATGTTAAATAGTGCTGCGGATGGAAACAGATCGCCTTTGCTCTTGTTTTAGTCTTTAGAAACTATCAGGTGACATTTTGAAGGAGGGTCAAACATTAATGTGAATAAGAAGTGGCCGTAAGCATCAGGGTCAGCGTGAGGTAGCTTTGATCTTGCTTCACAATTCTGCTGTAAAAACCACAAATCCCTGACAACATGACTGATCTCTTGAATGCCAAATATTGTGAAGAAGAAGAAAATGAATGATGGGCTTGTTTAGGCTGGTTTCCACTAGTCAGGCTGGACTAGTTTAGTGATTTTAAAGGTGATTTGGGGGACTGAAGACCAGCAGTTTTTTCAGCAGGGTCTTTGTTATTACTTGTAATGTATGTTTGCTGCTTTTGATTCATTCATCATTGTTTTTCTCTTTTAACAGGAGTACATCATTCGTGTACAGAGGGGAGTTTCCACAGACAACAGCTGGACGGTGAGTTAGATCTATATCTATCTATCTATCTATCTATCTATCTATCTATCTATCTATCTATCCCTCTGCCTGTCGTCTATCTATCTGTCCATCTGTCTGTCTGTCTGTCTATCTATCTATCCCTCTGCCTGTCGTCTATCTATCTGTCTGTCCATCCGTCTATATATCCGTCTGTCTGTCTATGTCATCTATCTATCTTCTGTCTAACTGTCTGTCTATCCGTCTATTTATCTGTCTGTCTGCCTGTGTCTATAAATCTATTGTCGATCTGTCTATCCATCTATCCATCTATCCATCTATCTATCTATCTATCTATCTATCTATCTATCCCTCTGCCTGTCGTCTATCTATCTGTCCATCTGTCTGTCTGTCTGTCTGTCTATCTATCTATCTATCCCTCTGCCTATCGTCTATCTATCTGTCTGTCCATCCGTCTATATATCCGTCTGTCTATGTCATCTATCTATCTTCTGTCTAACTGTCTGTCTATCCGTCTATTTATCTGTCTGTCTGCCTGTGTGTCTATAACTCTATTGTCGATCTGTCTATCTATCTATCTATCTATCCCTCTGCCTGTCGTCTATCTATCTGTCCATTTGTCTGTCTATCCGTTTATCTATCCGTCTGTCTATGTCATCTATCGATCATCTGTCTATCTGTCATCTATCTATCTTCTGTCTAATCGTCTGTCTATCTGTCATATATCTATCGACTATCTATCTTCTGTCTATCTATCTATCCATCTGTCTGTCTGTCTGTCTATAAATCTATTGTCGATCTGTCTATCTATCCTTCTGTCTGTCATCTATCTATCTATATCTATCTATCTGTCTGTCTGTCTGTCTGCCTATTTATGTCTGTCTATATATCTATTGTCAGTCTCTCTGTCTATCCCTCTTTCTGCCATCTATCTATCTGTCTGTTTATATGTCTGTCTGTCTATTTATATATCTACTGTCGTCTGTCTATCCATCTATATATCCCTCTGCCTGTCATCTGCCTGTTTTCTGTCTGTCTATCCATCTGTCTTTCTATCTGTCTGTCTGTCTGTCTGTCTCATTCTCTCTCATGTTTGTTATTGTCAGAATGATTGATTTTAGCTCTGATTTTCGCAGGTCATCCGGCGATACAGCGACTTTGACATGCTGAATAATAGTTTACTGGTAAGTGGACCGTTCGAACAAACCTGTGTTGGAAAAACATCCGTTCCTGTATAAGCGTTTGACAGCTGCTGTTTCAAAATAAATTGAATAGCATTGCTCTGATGTCTCAATGGCAATGATTCACTCTTACTGAGTCCTCAAAAACTCACATGCCTCAGAAAGCTTTTCACTTTAGCCTTCCCATCAGTGAAAGAGTAACTGAGTCAGTCTGTCTGCGTTCACAGATCTCCGGCCTCAACCTGCCGCTTCCTCCTAAGAAGCTGTTAGGAAACATGGACCGAGAGTTTATAGCCGAGCGTCAGAAGGGTCTTCAGGCTTATCTGAACTACATCACACGTCATCACATCCTCTCCAGCTGTGAGCTGGTCAAAAAGTTTCTCGACACTAACAATTACTCTGCAAACTACACAGGTAATGCAACCGGGGCTTATTTTAACACCAGAAAATGTGTTTTGCATCAAAATTATTGTTAAAATTCTTCATTATTTTTTCAGAAATAGCCTTACAGCAGGTGTCCATGTTCTTCAGATCCGATCCAAAATGGGAGGTTATTGAGCCGTTAAAAGATATTGGTGAGTAAAGCAGTTCAGTTACTTCAATCCAGTTTCATTATTTTGTATTATATTATATTTTTATAACATATTTTGTAATTGTTTTTTTATTTATTATTTAAATGTTTTTATATGGGGCAGAATGGGCCTTGAGATATATCACAACTATAATAGTTAATGATTTAAGGTTTATTGATTTGTTTCTCCCAGTAAGAGTTTATATGCCGTGTCAGGTGTTGGTTTACTTTGACACATTTAATGTTCCTGACAACCTGACGGATTGCAGAGGCTCATGGGAAAATTTTTTATCCTCTAAAAACAGCCTGAGTTTCACAGCCGAGACACATTTGAGTTAGATTTTTTTTTTTTACCCCAAAATCAAAAGGAAAAATAGGAAGTTATATTTTGTTTGAAGAAAATAAAGGCTATTTGTAGGACTTTTCCATTACAGCGTTATTTTAAGAAAAAATAAGCAAATTTCCTGCAAACTGTCTCTATCTCATCATCATTACTGTAATGCAAAATATGCTATATTCAAAAAATGTTTATTTAAAATGCACATTTGTAAAGCATAGTTTTTAAAATTAAAAAATGTAAAATGTAAAAAAGAAAAATTATTATTGTAATAATTGGATTTTTACGAGTTACGGTAATACAAATTTAAAGCAGAAAATATGCTTATTTTGATTAAATTAACGTCACAATGCAACATTTTTTTTATCCTCTAAAAACAGCCTGAGTTTCACAGCCGAGACACATTTGAGTTAGATTTTTTTTTTTTACCCCAAAATCAAAAGGAAAAATAGGAAGTTATATTTTGTTTAAAGAAAATAAAGGCTATTTGTAGGACTTTTCCATTACAGCGTTATTTTAAGAAAAAATAAGCAAATTTCCTGCAAACTGTCTCTATCTCATCATCATTACTGTAATGCAAAATATGCTATATTCAAAAAATGTTTATTTAAAATGCACATTTGTAAAGCATAGTTTTTAAAATTAAAAAATGTAAAATGTAAAAAAGAAAAATTATTATTGTAATAATTGGATTTTTACGAGTTACGGTAATACAAATTTAAAGCAGAAAATATGCTTATTTTGATTAAATTAACGTCACAATGCAACATTTTTTATATTTTATAATTATTATAGTGTTTATATTTTCTAGTATTGGTTTGAAATGACGTTCATACGTGAAATTTATCCAATCATCTAATATTTGTCTTGTCATAGGCTGGCGATTGAGAAAGAGGTACTTCTTAGTCAAAGACAAAGATCAACCCAAAGACAAACAAGTATTAAGTTGGGTAAGTTTGATTTTGACCCATTCAAACACAGACCAACACCTTTTTTTGGGATATTCGTGCTCTGTTAAAGTGCCCCTATTATGGGTAATGAATGGTTCATATTTTGGTCTTGCATGCAAGGTCAAAAAACACTTTCATTGTCTTATAATATGCATTTATTTTTACCTTACTTGCTCAATGACTCCCAAACGATTCGCTCAATGATTAATTTTTCCAAACCCCTTCTTTGCGTGAGGCTAATCTGCGGTGATTGGTCCGATTGGTCTCATTTTCATTTCATCATGCCTGTAATGCCTGATAAAGCAGTGTTTGTGAGCGCAGTGCTGCTTTGTGTACAGCATTCCTGGTGGAAACCGCTATATTACTGCTCCAAAAGCGGCACCTAGTGGCAAAGAATGGATTAGCATTTTCATTCAACGAAAAGATCAACAAGTGGGTGGACAATATGCTAATGTTTCATGTTGATGTCAGCATGAAACGCTTGGGATTCGTTTTAAAAACGACTCGTTTCAGTGATTCAGAATCGACTCTTTCTTTTGAGAGACAATAACTTTATACACGGTGCACTTTCAGATTTAAAACTTTGCAGGATGTTTTCATTCAATTAGAGCTGTGTTACACACTGTATGAAAGCTAATTTTCAAAAATCCATAATAGGGGCACTTTAATCCAGTACTTTGACCCTCAACATATTTAATTCCCATTATTGCGTAACCCTGATGAAGTTGATCCTGTTGATCACATTCAACGCCACTTTGTTTGGCTGCACAAAGAACTTAACTAACCTACTAATCTCTTGTGGCGTCTTTGTTTTCACTCTTTTCTATAAGTAGCATCGTGTACCCTTGTACTGACCATAATACATTTCTTTACCAATTCGAGGTGGATTTGGGTCCAGATAAGTTCCTGTCTGACAAAGATCTCCTGTCTGCAGTGAAGCTGCTTCCAACTTTGTCTGTAAGTCTTAAAAAGATGACGGTTACCAGGGCATTGCTATATGGTTGCAAAAATGTTTTTAGAGGTTTTATGGCTAGTTTTTAGGTTGCAATCCATTTAGATTGTAAATCAATTCAGCATAAATATACTAGTAATAATTATAATTTATTATTCATTAAAGAATATTGTTGTAGTATAATGACCTTTTAGTAATCAGTTGACAATAGATGCTATTTTCATGACAATTAAGCACCGCTTCCCGCTATTATAGTAATGCAAAACGAATAAGAATATATAATTTCAATATTACTCTACGAAGCTGTTAAAGGGTTAGTTCACCCAAAAATTAAAATTAGCCCATAAATTACTCGCCCTCAAGTCATCCTATGTGTATATGCGCAGCTCAGAAGTGATGAACACGGAAGCGCAGCGGAGAGATCAAAACAAAACAACGGTCACTTATTAGAAGTACAAAACGAGGATTTGTAAAGAAGAATGTCGGAGGATTTTGATATAAGCCAAGAGGAGACTTCCTTTCTTTTGCTCCTGTTAACAAATGTTGGTTTTCACGAGACTCACCGGCACATGCACAACGCCGACATCTTACATCATCCTCCCGGAGCTGCTTCCGTGAAGGACTGTTGGCGCAAGCTACATTAAAGTGATTATTACGTTTTAAATATGGATATTTTGCTTACAAAAACGCATCGATTCGCTACAGAAGGCCTTTGTTCACCCCCCGGAGCCGTGTGAGACACTTTTTTTATGGATGGGTGCTTTTTATTTCACTTCTTTTGGACTGATGCATGCAACACCCGCTGAGTGGCATTAAACAGCTTGGAAGATCAAAGACCATTTTTAATATAACTCCGACTGGATTCATCTGAAAGAAGAAAGTCATATACACCTAGGATGCATCAGGGGTGAGTAATTTATGGGTTAATTTTAATTTTTGGGTGAACTAACCCTTTAAGCAGAGCCGGCACACTGTGGGGAATGAACTAAAAGAGCCTGTCTTTGTGTACAGACCCGAATGTTTGGATTTTTTGTGTGTGAACGCCGTCATGTGCTCTTGTTTTTTCTGCTTCCTCAACGTCAGCAGCCGTACAGCGAGATTAAACAGATCACTGAGAGAAACACATCTCTACAAAAGACTCCATTAACTCGCTGTGGAAATCATGTGTAGACATTATTTCTATACTATTATTCACCAACTAATTTGGTGTAGAAATAATTGTCATTCAGAAATTGCTAGTAAATTTAACAATTAAAGACAATTAAACAATTATTAAACATTTTGAAATGTTGACTGAAATAGTTTTTTTTGTAAAAAGTACTCCAGTAATCTTTGTTTTGTTTATAACTTTTTTTATTTACAAAATATTTTAGTGTACAAATATACAGTGCAGTTATTTATCATTCATATTTTTGAATTTGCTTTTATTTTTATATTTCTAGTTCTGAATTAAATACAAATATACAGTTTAGTTTTTATTAATGTTTTTGAATTAGCATATATTTATACATAGCATATATATTTTCAGTTCTTATTTTAATACAAATATACGTTGTCGTTTATATTAATACTTTTTAATTAGCTTTTATTTTTGTTTGTTTTTTTAGTTCTAATTTAAATTTTTTGTAATTTTGTTAACTGCTTTTGTCACTTTTATTAGTTTTTGTTTATTTAAATATTACTATTTAGGTTTAAGACATTAAACATCAAGAGTTTGCAGTTTTTTTTTTAGTATTTTAATATTATAATTAATATATGAAAATATTTCATAATTTGTTATTTTAATATTACAAAATATGAACATAAAATGTGTCAACTAAATAGGTATATTTAAGTAACTAATGTGTGCAGCAATGAAGAAAGGCATTGTTATTGTTCCTATTAGTTTTATTTTTCATTTATTTCCAGTTAGTAACTTTAGTTAGTTGCTAAGGCTTAGTTTTTCATCTAATAATACAATTTTATTTTATTTCAAAAAAATGGTTTTAATAGGATTAGATTTAGTTAATATTCCATATAATACCATGGAATAGGGTTACTTGAAAACGAGATCAGTCAGATGGAGGAGCTCATCTTGACGTCTGCATTCCAGATGAGCAGATTAAAGCAATCCAACCGAGATGCACGTTAATCAGGAAGGTATGACAGAGTCATTTCTGACCATGAGGCTCATGGGAAAACATGCTGGAGATCTGAATTCTGAATTCAACCGCATAGAAATACCCTCATAACTCCATATGTCATAAAAGTGTCTTTTGCATGGGAAACAAAAACACTCAAAAATCAAGTTTGAAGAGTTTGTATGTGTCTGACTGCAGCTGTTTTTGCAGCATTCAAACATCGCTCCCGTCAGTTTCGCTACCACCAGTGAATCATCTGCTCTAGTCATTCGGGTTTTCAGCGAGAAAGGGACGCTTAGGGATCACATCTGCAAGGTTTGCTTTCTTTTACTTGGCTGATCAACAAGGTATTTTCATATTGTAGCATACTTGTATTTCTTCTCATTCTCTCTTGAATTTTGTCGATCCCCCAGGTGAAGCCCAAAGAGCCCTTTCTGAAGAAGTACTGCAATCCCAAAAAGATCCAGGGATTGGAGCAGCAGCAGATCCGAACCTACGGAAGACAGATTCTGGAGGTCTGGTTAACGGTTCATGTTTATAATAACCAGTTTACAGGAACCGATCTTGATTTGTAGACTTGACTGTGCTTTTAATGTAGCGCTGTAGAACATCCCTTTTTAAGTTTGTTTTTAATTTCTACAGTGGGTATAGAAATTAATCCCCCCTTTAAAATAATCAGATTTTGTTGCTTTGCAGCCTGAAATGAAGACGGACACAGTTTCTGTTTTATCCGGCTGTATTTACTCAGTGCAACTTATAACATCCAAGTGAAAGATATAAAACCAACATGTCAGAATTTTTTTTAAATAAAAAAACAGAATCACTGAGTTGGAAAAATGATCATCCAATTGTGTCAGGATATTGTTGAACCACCTTTTGCTTTAATTACAGCCTTTAGTCTGTTGGTCTCTGTCTCTACTAACGTTGCACATCTAGACTTTGCAATATTTGCTCTGAACTGCTCAAGTTCAGAAAATTTGATTGTGACAATGCTATTATTTGGATGGTGAGCTGTATTGGATCCTTTGAGCCTGTTTCCAATTCAATGATTCAGTTTTTTTCTGACATATTGCTGTTATATCTTTCACTATATCTTTCACAGCCTGACAAAACAAAAACTGTGTCTGTCTTCATTTCAAGCAACAAAATGTGATTATTTTAAAAGGGGGGATTTTTTCCAGACCCACTGTAAATCTATAGGGATTCAGCTTCTGCTGTCTTTTCAGCCTGAACGGCTTAACATCCATCCATTGGGTTTTATACTTCAGAAATTTTAAAAGAAAGATTTAATGTTTGAACATCTCCCATTGACTTACACAGCTGTCGGCTGTTTGCATTCATTATCTAACCAACAGTGATGCCGTTGTAATATTTGCATAGTGAATTGACATTGCCATTTCTTGCATTTATTTGCATATAGAATTATATTCGATCTGTGTTCTGTTTTGCATCTGTTTATTCATCCATCCCCATATGCTCAAAAAGTTTGGGGTCAGTAAAAATATTTTAGTTTTTGAAGAAAATTGTGCTTTTATCTAGCAATAATGCATTAAATTATGAACAATAAGTGGCGATAAAGACATTTATAATGTTACAAAATAATTATGTTTCAAATAAATGTTCTTTTGAACTTTCTATTCATCAAAAAAATGCTGAAAAAAATTACATGTATTGTGGTTTGCACAAAAATATGAAGCAACAACTGTTTTCAACATTAATAGTAATAGAAATGATTCTTGAGCAGCAAATCAGCATATTAGAATGCTTTCTGAAGGATCATGTGACACTGAAGACTGCTGAAAATTCAGCTTTGCATCACAGGAATGAATTACATTTTAAAATATATGAAAATACAAAACAGTTATTTTAAATGATAATTATATTTCACAGTATTACTCTATTTTTGATCAAATAAATGCAGCCTTGGTAAGCAGAAGATATTTTTTTCAAAAAAAAATTTTAAATCAAAAGTTTCTGGAAAAGTAAATATGTGATTTCCTGTAATTTTGTAAATATGTCATTTGTTTTATTCTTAGGCATTAAAATTTCTCCATGACAAGGGTTTTCCGTATGGACATCTTCATGCGTCTAACGTCCTGATTGAGGAGAACGCGTGTAAATTGTTGGATATAGAGAATTCGTTACTGGGACTGCCGTCATATTACCGACCCTATGTAACACAGTTCAGGAAAATGAATGTAAGAGCTTTTTTTTATTATTATTTTCTTATTAGTAGTAAATAATTTAAATACTAGTAATTCAATTAATTAGTAATTAGTGATTTTCAAAATCTGATGTTTTTACTTCTATCAGACAACAGAAAGCATAGACGTCTACTCGTTTGGACATTTGCTTTATGAAATGACGTACGGCCGCCCGCCTGACGCTGTGCCTGTGGATCAGTATCCTCCGCCTCCGTTCTCATCCGTAGGTCAGTATGATCTTCTGTTCACTTTGTCTAGAGTTTGACTAAAGAGTTTAGAAGTAAAAAAAAAAACATGGATTTAAACATGCTTAAATTTGTTCAAGTCGAGAGTAGTAGACGCAAATTAGCCAAAATATTTCATGCATGAGCATGTGTAGGAGTTCACAGGTGTTTATTAGCACTGATCAGAAAACTGTCTGAATGTGAAGAGTAGGGTTGGGTATCGTTTGAATTTTATCAATTCCGATTTTTTCGATTCCCAGTTTCGATTCCAATGTGATTAAATAATGATATCAAACATTTATCCTGTGTCTCTTTTTTGCAAACCATTTATTGGAGCTGAATATCAACAGGCTGATAAATAATAATGATTAAATGACTCACTCAAGATGTACGTGTTTCATTACTGGATGAATCAGCGTTCTTGAACGAATCTCTTGTATGATTCAGAGACAAATACATTGTAACAGCCCCTATTCGCCACCTACTGGCGTAACAATGTAATCGATAAATCTTCATTTGAAGTGTCAAATTACTTTCAAAAGGGGATTTACTCTATTTTAACCGCTACCGTACACATCGTACACACAGTTTATATCTGAACTATAAACTTTTATCCCAGTACTTCTGTGATTTGAATGTTTGTAACGCAGAAATAATGATACTGTGTGGCTGAAGAGACTGTGAAGCTGTTTCATTCATGACAGATGACAGCTGCTCTCTTTAGGTCAGCGGCAGTGCGAACGCAGATTTAAATGCTCAAATCAAACTGGTGTGATTGTACTCTGCACGGACAAACCAACAAGTGATCACAACATTGATCGCACACTTCAAAGGTTGAGGAATGAAACAGACGAATCATTGTAATTTAGGAATAGAATCACGTTGGTGTTTGAATCGCGATCTTTAACGATCTATTAAATTAAAGTGCTTTGTCATGTTGGTGGTGACACCTCTCTTGCAACATGTTTAGCTATCACAGATAGCCTATAATACTTCGCTTATTTGGCTTCTGATCGCAAATGTAGCCAAAATTTGGAGCGCTTAGGTTAGCGAGTAAGGTCCTGGCAGATCACTAAGTTCGGTCCTCACAGATGAAGAAAAAAAAAAAGTGCATAGGAATCGATAAGCGGAATCGAAATTTTAATTTGACAACAAGCCTTGACAAGTTTTATGTGATTCATCCTAAGAGGGATGTGATGTGTACATAAGCGTAAAGTCTTCATTTTATGACTAAGTCACGTTATCGTGAATCCAAAGCATGTGGTTTTCTTCTTTACAGCAGTAATTGTGAATGTTGACATTGTTTAAAACCGAAGCACAAACTGCTGCTGAGTTTAACTCTCGTTCTGACAGGTTATTCAATGACGTGCTGCTGTTTAACTCTGAGAAACCCCAGTTTAAGGTAAGCAAACTGAAGTAAAAAACTAACCTAACCAGTTTCTGTTTTACTAAATAATTGGTTAAATCTTCCCTCTTTCCAAATTCAGATCAGTTCCAAATTAAAGGAGGCCCTGAAATCGTCCAAGGAATGCTTGGAGAAGCACTTAGTGGAGGAACAGAGGACAGTTAGTACATTGCTTTATTCACTTTTAGGCTCTTGTGCAACAAACGTTTGGCTTGGCTTGCTTAGGAAACATTACACAACAGTGTCGCAAACACAAATTCCATCGTTTCGGTGTAGAAAAGTTGACTTGATGACATCAGCTGAATAAAATGTAATACTTTACAACAGGAAACTTCTATGAAATGTTTTCTTAGTAGTCCTGTAGATTTCGGTTTTTATGTAAACCTCGTGTGTTTTCAGATCCACCAGCACAAGAGGCTGACGCGAGCGCAGTCGCACCACGGCTCAGAGGAAGAGAAGCGGAAAAGGAAGATCTTGGCCAGAAAGGTACATGGGTTATGACTTTGCCATAATTAGGATTCACATTGAATGCTTACACCGTTTTGTGCTAAACATAATGGTTGTTTTGGTTTCAGAAATCGAGACAGTCGACGTATGAAAATGAGGAGGATCTTTCTGTCAAATACAATAACAACTCTGGTAGGTTTAATTTATTAAACTTTCCTTTATTAATAGAATAGTTCACCTAAAAATCTACTCTCTCTCTCAGGTCATCCAAGATGTAGAAGAGTTTGTTTCTTCATCAGAACAGATTTGAAGAAATGTAGCATTGCATCACTTGCTCAGCAGTGGATGCTCTGCAGTGAATGGGTGCCGTCAGAATGAGAGTCCAAACAGCTGATAAAACATCACAATAATCCACACCACACCAGTCCATCAGTTAATGTCTTATGAAGAGAAAGACTGTTTGTAAGGAACAAATCCATCATTGAGAATTTTTTTACTTCAAACTGATGCTTTCGGCTAAAATACCTATAATAAAATAATAAAAGTCCTCTATCCACAATATTGCTTTCTCCAATGAAAAAGTAATCTCATCTGAATCAGGAGCGAAATCTGCACATATTAAGCACCGTTTATAAGCGAAAACTGTTTTAAATGAATATGTTGGTGGATTATGATGTGAGAGGACAACAGGCGATGGACTTCTTCACTGGAGGAAGAGTTATTATGGATTATGGACTCGTATTTTGGTCAGAAGCAACGGTTTGAAGTTGAAAACGATTAGTTTCTTATAAACATGCATCTTTTCGCTTCACAAGACATTAACTGATGGACTGGAGTGGTGTGGATTATTGTGATGTTCTTATCAGCTGTTTGGACTCTGACGGCACCCATTCACTGCAGAGGATCCACTGGTGAGCAAGTGATGTAAAGCTACATTTCCCCAGATCTGTTCTGATGAAGAAACAAACTCTTTTACATCTTGAATGGCCTGAGGGTGAGAGAATTTTCAGTTCATTTTTGGGTGAACTATTCTTTTAAAAAAAACAATGGCAAATTTAATTCCACATTTTAATGTCACATTTTCAGTGTTTTGGGTTCCGGAAGTATTTTTCTCCATTCATTTTCTCCATCGGGATTTTGTAAAAGTCTTGAGGGTCAACCCATCTCAAATGACCCAATGAAGGTTGCTTGACCATTTTTAATTATCCTCCTCTTCTTTTTTTTTTGTGGTTGAACCATTTAAAATAAATTGAATTTAAACTACCAATACTAAAAATAGCTAAAAAAATAAAACAATTTTTGGACCACTTGAGATGAAATTACTGTTCAGTAAAGAGTTGTAAACCATGAACCAAACCAACCTGCTTCAGATAAATCACAATAATGCAAACTTTCATTTGATACAAAAATGTTTTAGAACAAATGTAAAAAGGGCATATTTTTAATGTCTAGCTCACCCAGAATTTGGAAATTAAAGCACTTTTTAAGTAATTAAGTGCACATGATGCTAACTTATGGTGTAGAAAGAAGCAAATACTGTCGCGAACGACCTCGCCGTTCATCGTAGATCTTCAAAGGTTTATAGTTATTATGAAAAGCCTGGTTTTGAATGGCTTTTTATACTATCATAACCCTTCTGTTGAACTCTATTATTACCTGGTTCAAGATACAGCTCTCAATGTATAAATACAGTAAAAGAAAACATTACCAAAAAAATCATATTTATTGTCTTCTAGCAGGTTCTGGGGCGAGTTCACCTCCAACCTGCCCGTCCTCACCCACTCCTCTGCCTGGATCAGGTGCGTCCCGTTTATAACTCCGTCCATCCTCAATCATTGTCAAATCAATCGGAAGAGTTTGTGTTTCCTGGTCTTATTCAAACATTCCCTTTCCACAGTCAGTATGTCCATGTAAACAATCAGTTTTCCCAGTGTATCACATATAATTCTGTATACGTTGCATGATTTGGTCAAATGTTTTCGATTGTAACTCACCGGCGCATTAACATCTGTTTTTTTTCTATCCAATAGAGACCTAATCTTTTTCATTTCATTAAATTCCTAATGAAATCGGTTACAGTCTCCATTCATCTTACCAGATCATAATCATTCGATGTGTCGCCTCATTCTGATATGATCAGTAACTTGTGTGTGCCTCTCTCTCTCTCCCTCTCTCTCTCTTATATGCTGTCTTCAAAACTAGAGCATGCGCCATTTTGAACGTGTATGGGGTAAAGTAATTCAATAATAATAATCTATTTCCACCGTAAAGTTGCAGCTCACCCTCCCTCAGTAGTACATTCGGATTCCCCACCGCAAAACTGTTGCATCAGTATTAAAGCATGTAAATGCATGCAAACGAGGTCCGTCCAGACACTTTCCAGCCTACTGAGAAGGGTTAATGCAACTTTATAAGTTCACAATCTGCAATTGTCTATTTAGGCACAAAGTTTTCATCATTCTGGACTTTTCTGAGGGTACATTCTCTTTTTAACAGCAAACACTCTGGTTTTGTGGATTGTGATGGTTGTTTTTTTTTTCTTATATATGCAGTGTTTATGTTCGTGAATGATAATACTAGTTTTTAAGATACTATTTTTATATACACTTTTGAATGAGGAATTTCGTGGTCTTAAAGCAATTACAAGTGAGCACAAGTAGTACGCTGCCGATACTTGAATCTTGCTGGCTCAGAAGGCATGAGTCATGCTGTCCAGCACTTATTTCCAAGAAGGTTATTGGTCAGTAAATGTGCACAATATTGACAAATCATGATTTAGTCAACAGGAAATGGCTGTTTTCTTTCTAATCACTCATATTTTTAGTTGTTATATAATTAATAATTATATTTTTGGTATCATGATATTTTGTATACGATATTTACTTTAACTAGTTACTTTACAAAATATATGTTTTAAATATAAATCTTTTAAATTAATTGCATAATTAATTTGATATTAAACATAATTAATGAATAATTATTATAATGTATCATTATAATATATTATTATTTTATATATTATAAAATTATATACTATAGAAAAGTTATATTCATAATATATTATACACCTCTTTCAGCCATGTATCAAAAGTAGGAGGTGAGGCATGTTTCCATTTTAAAAGTACGAGAAATCTCGCTAAGAAAGTAGTAAAGGCTATAGCCTTTTGAAACGTCACTGAAAGGTCAGCATTGACCGCCATGTATCATTATAATATATTATTATTTTATATATTATAAAATTATATACTATAGAAAAGTTATATTCATAATATATTATACACCTCTTTCAGCCATGTATCAAAAGTAGGAGGTGAGGCATGTTTCCATTTTAAAAGTCTGAGACGTCTCGCTAAGAAAGTAGTAAAAGCTATAGCCTTTTGAAACGTCACTGAAAGGTCAGCATTGACCGCCATGCCGAAAATATAAAAATATATTGTATATTTACTTATTAAATAAAACTATTTTAAGTATTTTTATATTTTGTGTATTTTTATCTGAATTATATTTTATATCATAGTATGTTTTTATATCATTATATTTTGTATATTTATAAATATTGCAAGTTTTATATTTTTAATGATATAATTAATAATTAGATATGTCAGTATATTTTAATATCATAATATGTTGGGTATTGCATTATTATTAAATATTTATATTTTGTATATTAGATTTTATCATTTTTATAATTATTAATGATATAATTATATTTTTAGATATTATATTGTGTATATATACATACATATTGTGTATATATAATATATATTTAAAATATTGTAATATAATATTAATTAAAAAAATTAAATATAATAATTTAATAATGATCATTGAATTTTTTTTTACTTATAATTTTTTTAATTGTATATCATTTTTATATTTTATTTCATAATATTTTTTTATATTGAAATATATTGTGTATTTACATATTAAATATAAATAAATATAAAGCTATCAAATTATTCCATGTTGACTTTAAATGTTGCCGCTTCTGGTAAGTGTATCATTCTGAATTTTACTTTATCATTTCCTGTTTACTTACTGCACAAGATTCTGAGTAGTTATATTACTGTTTATATTTGATATAACTAAACCGTATTCGTTACATTTGACTGATCGTGATGGACTGTTTTCTCTGATTCCAGCAGGAGCACCTCTAGCACCTCCTCTTCCTCCCCCCGCTCCTCCTCCTCCTCCCGGGAACGAAGCCGTCCCTCCATCTCTCTTGCCTCCTAGTGCCAACGGTGTGGGCAGGAGCGCCCTCCTCAGCTCCATCCAGTCCTTCAGCAAAGGCAAACTGAAAAAATCAGAGACTGTTGACCGCAGCATCCCACGTTTGTGAAAAAGAAAACAACGCTTGTCTTTGTTTTAGTGCAATTCGTCCACTCGAAAGTCTTTTAGCAATTTACGTCTAGCAGTGAAAATTTACTGTTTGTACCTGAACTTCTTCAGTGTTTGTTTTGTTCGTTAGTTTTATTCACAGCCCTGCATTGTTTTGTTTTGTTTTGTTTTAAGCTGCTCGACGTAACCTAAACAGTTCTGCTTGGACCAGCTGTCGCATTTACAAAATGGACTTGAACACTCATTCGAACGGAAAAAATCTTCATTTTAAAGGACTGACTTTTGAAAGCGAGGGCACAAGATGGTGGAGAATGCGGGCAGCACATTTACTATGAATGACAAAGTAACTGGATTTTATTGTCGGTTCATAAAATAAGTCATATTTGATTCTGATATTTTAATCCAACTTTGGTAACGGTTCATTTCGAGGGGGTTTGGGATGATGCTTTTTAAGCGTTTGTCACATTTACCATTGTGCCTACAAAAGCTGAGAGCATTCTTTGTTCTCTTCGTTTTTCTCCCGGGAACGAAGCCGTCCCTCCATCTCTCTTGCCTCCTAGTGCCAACGGTGCAGGCAGGAGCGCCCTCCTCAGCTCCATCCAGTCCTTCAGCAAAGGCAAACTGAAAAAATCAGAGACTGTTGACCGCAGCGTCCCACGTTTGTGAAAAAGAAAAAAACGCTCGTCTTTGTTTTAGTGCAATTCGTCCACTCGAAAGTCTTTTAGCAATTTACGTCTAGCAGTGAAAATGTACTGTTTGTACCTGAACTTCTTCAGTGTTTGTTTTGTTCGTTAGTTTTATTCACAGCCCTGCATTGTTTTGTTTTGTTTTGTTTTAAGCTGCTCGACGTAACCTAAACAGTTCTGCTTGGACCAGCTGTCGCATTTACAAAATGGACTTGAACACTCATTCGAACGGAAAAAATCTTCATTTTAAAGGACTGACTTTTGAAAGCGAGGGCACAAGATGGTGGAGAATGCGGGCAGCACATTTACTATGAATGACAAAGTAACTGGATTTTATTGTCGGTTCATAAAATAAGTAATATTTGATTCTGATATTTTAATCCAACTTTGGTAACGGTTCATTTCGAGGGGGTTTGGGATGATGCTTTTTAAGCGTTTGTCACATTTACCATTGTGCCTACAAAAGCTGAGAGCATTCTTTGTTCTCTTCGTTTTTTTCCTGCGGAAATTTTGAGCTACATTGTTCGTATTTTCTTTCAGAACAAAGTAATATTTGTATTCCTGTTCTGCAAGATCACAATCAAAATGTTGCACAAATAGCAACATTTATACAATGCGTTTAGCATTTACGCCCCTTAACAACACAGTTTCTGTGTCAGAAGATCAATGGCTTTGATTTACCACTGACATGATTGTATAATGACCATTGTGATGGCTGTTGCGGCCTGGTAGAGAATTTCAGAATTTCATTTCTCTGGTAGAGAATTTCAAGCAAGTGAAATGGAAGTGATTTCTTGTTTTGCACACATATAGGAAGAAAGATACTTCTGTAATTCATATTCATCGCGGGGTCCTGTTGAAAACCAGATCCATTTGTAATCTAGAACGATGTACAGTGATTGATGCACAATAGTTCATCTTTTGCTCCTGTAACAGTAAACTCATTTGTATATAGATTCTTACAGACACTGAAAACATTACAGCTAAATACAGAAATGCATATTCCTGGCTTTATCGTGGGGGAAGAGTTTAATAATGTTTTCATTACCGCTACAGCACTTTACCGCTGAATATTTAGCAGTGGTCTGGAGGAGAAGAAATCTTCTCAAGTTTACACAGAGATTTATGTATGTCTGAGAACAATAGAGGAATCAGTATGTTTGATGATGAAGAAAATTGCCACTTATTTTCCCCTCTGTACAGTTTCCACTGAAGTTGGACATCCTCAAAATGCTACAATTTTTTTCCCCTGTTCTAAAAAACGTATATTGGCAATATTTTAAAAGAATGGTCTTGTGCTTTTAGTTGTGAACATTGAAATAAAGACAATGGAACAGATCGCGTGTGGTTTAATTTCTTCTTCAAACTTGTATAAACTAATAACTAACTAATACATATAGATCTTGTGGATAATATAAATTGTATGTAGAAATAAAATATAATAACTATTTACATATATAAATTTTTAAACATGTAAAGATTTATATTTTCAATCTTTTAAATAATTCAAATTTTATAATTGTTTTAAGTATATAATAAATATTTCTGATATTTTTCTTTAATATATTGTACATAATATATGTACATCTCATTTGGTTTATAGTTCTGTAAATATAGTTAACAGAAAATATAGTTAAATTAGTTATTTAATTTTTATTGTACTAATAATTTAACCATATGCTTTATCAACATTTATTCACTTGTTTAGTAATGATATATCGTACATTATGTTGAAAAAATTATCATGTACGTATTTTAGATACTTTTTCTAATTGATAAATATGGAGAGATCTCATGGATTATTTCAAATTTATTGGATTTTCTGCACTGAGCATCAAATACACAGACAACAATGCACTGTTAATACCCTAGTAAGCATCTCCCTCAACCTAAGAAAAACTTCCCATACAAAAAAACAATTATAATAACAATAAAAAAAGAAATAAGCAAAACAATCCATGATAATAATATCTTAATAGACAGAGAATCTTCTCTTACAAGAATAGCATGTTAAATTGTAAAAAAATAAAATAAAATTGTTGCTCAGTTTAAGTGTCTAGAGAGTTATCCAACAAATAACCTAAAAACGCCACAGTTTATCTAAGGTCCCTAAAGAACCGTTGAGTGATGGTCTAATTTTTTACAATTTAATGCAAGTAGACACCTCTTTCAGCCATGTATCAAAAGTAGGAGGTGAGGCATGTTTCCATTTTAAAAGTCTGAGACGTCTCGCTAAGAAAGTAGTAAAGGCTATAGCCTTTTGAACCGTCACTGAATGGTCAGCATTCACCGCCATGCCGAAAATGGCCAAAAGTGGGTTTGGATCAAGATCTCTGTCAAAGACTTCCCACAGCACATGAATAATGTCTGCTGGCGAGTTCCTACACCGGTTACATGCATCACTGACAGAAGCATATATTTTAGCAAGTTTAGCATTAGCAGTGTTGGGGAAAGTTACTTTTAAAAGTAATGCATTACAATATTGCGTTACTCCAAAAAAAAAGTAACTAATTACGGTACTTAGTTACTTTTTATGGAAAGTAATGCGTTACGTAACTTTTTAAATCTGGACAGGGCTTGCCTGTTTGTTTTTAAAATAAAAAAGTTATATTTTTGGCAAATATAAAAGCCTTTTCACACCAAAAGTGAAGTGAATAAGCCTCAGGCTGAAGGGAAAGTACATTTACGTCCGTACAGTAGAATGCAGAAGAAGACATTTCAACACTTCAGCAATAAAAAAACACACAAATGTTTGTCTAGAGTCATTTGTGCTTATTAGTACGGTTGAACTGGATCATCAAAGGTCAGACACAAAGACATTGGTTAATAGAATGGGATTAAATACATAAAGCATATTTGTGTTGTTTAACATTTAATTATTGCAGGTTTGCGTCATATTCTGAGTTGCATTATTTTTATTCATTTTGAGGAATACTGAATCTGTGTGAGTGAGATGAATTAATGCATATTCATATTTATTTTAGAACTACAGTAACATCTTCTGAATAGTCTCCCTCCCAGTCCCCTCTAATCTGACTTGATTTAATATTATGAATCAGGTTATAAAAGACAAGAAGTTTCTTGATAGAAACGAAATTTGGCATGGATCTATGAGCTATGGTCTTTATGCCCGTATCAAATCAAATTCAGAATCCATATTAGATGGTGAGAAACAGTGAGAGATCTCATGTGGATTATAATTACATTGTAAATGTAGTTAATATAAATTATAGTTAATATTACTAAAAGTTATATATGCTACTGCTTTTATATGCATTATTAATATTATTTTAACTGATACTAAATATTAAAAACTGATGGTTTTTAATAAAATGGTTTTGACATTGCTGACCCTGTATTATGGCATAGTTTAGACATCTGGCAACAATTAAAACTAGTTTAGTCGATTTTAGTCCATTTTTAATATGACCACGTTTTAACATTTGCGTTATATTTATCTTTTATATATATATATATATATATATATATATATATATATTGAAGCAATTTATTTTAGAAATCATTGATTTTTTGGGGTTTCTATAAAAAGATTTTTCTCTTGCCCTTGGACGCCCAATGACAGTCTTAAGGCAACTTCCGTTCTATCATGATTCGGCTGCACTGATTGGCCGCTGTCACTGTGTTTCCTGTTTTGATTTCACAACGCGCCCTCTGATTGGTCGAAACCGCTGGCATGGCAGCCCCGCCTCCAGACAGAGGACAGTGAAACATGGCGTCTCTGAGGTGCTTCTTGCGCTCGGGGAAGGTATTTGTGTGGAAATATGACACATTAGCTACATATTACGGTCATAATAATGAGATGAAAGCGTCGAGACTGATATGGCTGTGTGTTTGTCTCTCAGAATGCCGTTTCAGCGGTTTTGCGGCGGGAGTTTCACAGGACGCCGCCGGCTGCGGTGCAGGTCAGTGATGCTGCCGCTCGCACCTTCAGCAGATAAACACCACACCATCAGAAATCCGCTGTGAAGTCTGGCGATTATTGGTATGTTTGGTCAGTCGATTAGTGGTCACCATTGAGTCCTACAGAGTGCACTGTACATGTCAAGAGTGCTAACAAAAACAGCGCGGTAATGTCATGTGTACTGTGGTAATACTGTAGTATTATGAGCATTTACTTTCTTTGGTTATATTCCATGATAATGTCATTTTTTTTTGTATCATATGAATACCTGTGTGTGTGTGTATATATATATATATATATATATATATATATA